TGTGCATGCTATATCATTTAAAAAATAGAAGAAGTCACAGGACATTTCATACTGTCGCGTTTTTCTTTCCCCACTCCCAGCTGAAACTATGCTAATCTGTATTTTCAAGATTTTGAGCTTGTGTTCCTCATATTTTTACATGAACGGGAAGGATATTAGGAGATTCTTGCTCATTTTTCACTCTTACCAACACTTGTACTTTCCCTTTTCTGTTTGTCTGCTGGGGATCGGTGTTCATCTCTGCAAAGCACAGTTAGTTTTAGATGTGTTCAAATACCAGAAAATGAAATACAGATGAGAGATCAAATATTTTTTTCAACTAATTACTCTGAGGATAGTTTTTATGGTTTGTATTCAGAGATCTGATTCAGAATGGCCTGCAGTGGTAAAGCATCAGAAAATTCAGTGGGCATGTCCAAATGCCGAGAGTTGCATTAAGGGTGGAAGCAGACAGTGTTCAGTGATTGCCTGTTCATTCATGAAGTTCTCACTGTAATTTTCTTAAGGCAGGAAAACTTGCTGTTGATAGAGGCTGGGCGATCAATGTGGGTAAGTACAAATGTAGTGCATGAAATGATACTTGAAATAGTGTGTTTGAAATCATGTTATTTTCATTTAGCATGATGTGCATTTTGTTTATAACAACAGAAAGTGACAGGATTGTGTTTAACTAAAATCAACTCTAAAGGAAGAAAAATGGAAAAAGTACTGGATTTGTTTTGTCATCCACCGTCACCCATATTGCAGTTTTATAATTAAATATATCAGTTTTTTTGAAAGAAAAAGAACAACTGGATAAAGATATGATATATATAAGGAAAAGTGTTTGGACTGAAATAGAGTGAAAAAAATAAAGGAAAAAAGTTTAGAGTAGATATAAATATTTCACTACAATATTTGTTTTCATTAAATTATCAAATAATTTTCTATCAGCTAATTTATATATTATAGTAGACCAAGGGATTGGCTGATATGCTGGAGAGAAGGGCTGTACCACTTAGTGTCTGGTTTTGGCTGTGCAGTTTTTCCTGAAAAAGACTTGAACAAATTATGTATAATATAAATCTGCTCTCCTGCTCATAGCAAATAGCAATGTGTAACCAGTAAACTACTGAGGCAATGTGTTGTGTCACATAAGACTGAGCTTGTTTTTTCATAGAGCTCAAAAATTCTAGGATTTTTCTATTATTTCTTAGATACATCTACAAAGCGAGTATCTAATATTTAAATACTAAATAGACATTAAAAACAAGCCCAAAAGCCTGCCTGTTGTATTTACAGATATATAAAGTGAGCTTCTAAGTTTGTTGCTTAGATATTTGTGGTGGCTTTCTCATTAAAAAGTTCTGGTTTATTACATTTATTACATAAAAATATGTTTGGGGAGGGGGGGGGTCGAAGTACTTTTTTCATGTAGAGTCTGTGTGTTTGTGTTTTAAAGAGAAGTTCTTGAAGTTTTTCATGTCTGAGTGTTTGCAAAAGCCAATGTCACGTGCAAATAATGATAACACCATAGTTCTCAGTTTGTGTTTTTTTTTTTTTTTTTTTTTTGACCTGCTTTTCAGCATAGAAAAGAACTTTCTGTGTGTCCTTTCCACCTGGCCCAGGATGTTAATTATGCAACTCCAGTATGCCTGTGGGAGCTGAACTTTCAAAGTGGAAGGCCTTGGCATACCATGTCTTACATCTGTACATTAGGGTCCTTAGTTCTTAGTGTGTAGATGAAACCTCCCTTTAATCTGGGCATCTGCAGATCTGGTGTTTTTGTAAGAAATGTACAAAAATCCTGCTGAGGTGTTTTGTGTTGCTAGGTGAGGGTTTAACAGCTCTAGGTGCAGTATTTGCTAAAGGAAAAAAAGTGCCTGACATGCCAAGTAATCTCTGTCTCTTTGCAAAGACCATCTATGTCTCAGTATCTAGCTTTTCACCTCTTCAAAATTTTTATGTTTAGGGGGTGGTTTTCATCACTGTTCAAGTGACAAGGGTGGAGGATTTTGTGAATATGCTGATATCACACTGGCTATAAAGGTAAGAAGTGCTCTTAAACCAGTATTTTCTACTATTTGTACAAATGGAGAAACCCCCACATAAATTCATAAGAACTAATTTACATCTTAATAGGAGAAAAAAAGCCATCCATAGATGAGCAGGAATAGGAAAATGGTGTGGTGCTTGATGCTGTAGAACATAATGCATATGCCAGTATTTCTAAGTGGAAAGGAAAGTTGCAGGGGTCAGAATTATGAATGTAAATATGAAGCACTACAATAGCATTAATGACTTCTTACAAAAAACACTCAAAATAAATCAGATTCACTTTTAGTCTCCTCAATGACAATTATCCTAGCTGAGCAACTGAACTGGAAAATTCCCCATTAGTTTCAGTGGTTACAATCAAGACAAAGACAGAGACAGAAATCCTCTCTCTGAATCAAGCTGCACTATACTGTGCTTGGAGTGGTTTAAATTCATGAATAAAATTGTGAATGTCTCCAAAATAATCACTGAACCGTGAATGAATACATTTGGTATTTAGCTGTTGAAAGGCTGAAGCAAGAGCCTTCTGCAATTAGGGCTTATTTTTATCAAATGTACTATGGTATATTTGTATGCTAGAATATTTGTAAAATATCAGTAATAATCAAACATAAAAAAGCTCTAATGATTGCAGGACGTTATATGACATAACTTCCTAATTTCTGTACATGGTAATTTGCAGAAAAGTAATCCACAGTGTTCTATTTTCCCTGTCATTAAAATACAGGTTGAGAAATTATGGCGGGTGGCAGTTTGCACAAAATCTTTGGGTTTTACCATGTCTATATTAGAGATAGTAACTTGTCAACGTTAAGACTCAGAGAATTAAAAAGATATTTTTGTCTTCACAGACATGGAATAAGAAATTAATTCTGTTACTAAAAGTGGCTTTGATGCATGCAGTCCCTGCTAAATGATGGATTTTTTGTTTATGCAGCTGGATGCCATCACAGTGGGCTGTTTCTCCCTTCCAGCTGATAAGCCTCACCTGTGCTTCCATTTGTGTTCATGAACTTAGCTCCTTGATGTACTGGGGCCTCTGAAGCTCTTGCTTCACCCTGTCCCAACCCACAGCTGTCGCTGTTGCTTTCTCTGTGCTGTCGCTGGTTCCACTCCAGCCTCTGACAGCACCAGTGCCGCGATCAGCTTTCTGATCCCTGGCTGGACCTGTCCTTTTCTGTCTGTCTGTTGCGGGATGCAGAGTGCACCAGCTACGCCTGTGCAGTGCCAGGATTACTACGGCGGGCTTTATTGCCCTGGGCTCCGGTGCCATTCAGTTGTGGCTTTTGCCTGATTTGCAGAGTCTGCATTACAACTAATGTGGGATGCTATAGAAAGACACGTCCTTGATCCTGTGTTCTGTCTGGTACTTTTTGGGAGAAAGAGGAGATGAGTAGAAATATCTTTCTGCCTTCTCTTCACCAGCTTTCTCTAGGCAGATACCTGCACAGATGACTGAAATGCATACTTTGTGCATTTCATCTGCTGGAAATTCATAGGGTTTTTTTATTGTATAACCACAAAAATTATCTTTTTATGTGAAATAAGGAGCTTTTAAAATTAAATATGTTAGAATCATTTAGCCATTTATCTGATGATTGAAATGAATAGACATGCACTACATTCAAATTGGAACAGTAATATATTGTGCAAGCTTCCAGCCTCCGGTTTAATGTCACCTAACTTTATAACTTTCTCTGTCTTTTTCTTTGCTTATATACCCAGATCTTATTTGAAAGAGTACAAGGGGTGTCTAAAGTCACAATTATTGATCTGAATGCTCATCAGGTGAGTAGCTGACCTGTATTCAGTGCTGCAGATGTTTTGCTCAAAAAAGAAATGTGTGATAAATACAATTTTTTTCTAATAGTAGTATAAACTGTAACTAACAGAATACAAAGTTAATCAGAGATGATGGAAACTGTGAACAGTTTAGTTGTTTAATTATTTTATGGTCCAAAAGGCTTTTAAGCCTGTTTTATAAAATAAAACTGGCTTGTAGCTCCATCATGTGGCTAGAGGTAAAAATATTTTTGAGTTGCATACTGAGTTGAGGCATAACAGTCTCCAGAGAAGATCAGTGTCCCAGAAGAAACAAGAATCTCTTAAAACAATTACAGTTAGTTCAGCATGCATGATCATTGCAGCAGCCTTTGCAGGGGATGAATTTGACCTTCAGTGTTTTAATGGAAAGCCTCGCTTCAGGCTAATGAAGTAAAGAAAACATCACTCTTCACCTGGTGAAGTGATTTACTGTGGGTACTGAGAACAAATCTCACCTTTGGTAGGATTTCCAAAATAAATCCTGAAAGGAGGGAAATAGTATTTTTGGAAAAGTAGTGAATGCACCAAAATCATGTCCTGTCTGAAGCATTGAAGATAATTTATTATGTGTAAATAAACAATTTTTAAGTAGCTCCATGGCAGTGAGGAGGCCTAATGGCTGCAAGTTTTCCATCTTCTGTCACTTCTCTTATCTGCAAGTTAAGGAATCCTAAAATTAACATGAAATAACAATATAGATTATGCAGTAGAAAGATGTTTTGTGTGCATGATTCTCTTCAGCAGTCTCTGTCAGAGTGTGGAGTTTTGTGCTTTTTGGGGTGTTTTTTGTTTTGTTTTGTTTTTTAAAAAAAACTTCTTGGAATGGGTTTTGATTTTCAGATACCATGCCGGTAATCTCAGCCTGCACACTAAATCACGCTTTTGTTTCCTTTCTTTGGGGAATGAGAGGTGCGTGAAGTAGTAGCTCAGCAGATCCTTTTTAAGAATGCAGACACTCTCATCTTGTAAGTGTTCCAATTCTTGATGCATTGGTGAGTTTCACCTTCATAAGAAAATGGTTCATGCAGAGGCTCTCATATTCCTAGATTTCTGTTCATGAGCTGTTTATTTGTGGACCAAAGATGCTGAAGAAATAAGTAGGAATTGCCATAGCTTAGGATAAAGAAAAGCGATTCTGCTTCCCGTTCCCTTTTTTGCACATGTTGACTAGCTTTACCCAATGATTCTTTTTTGGTTTGGGGGTTTTTTTTGTTTATTTGGTTGTTGCCAGGAGAAGTTGTAGCAGAAATACAGCGTAACTGTCCAGGGGCATAAGCATGTAACTGAATTACAGAAGATGTATCTGTGGAAATGTCTGTTTCTATACTTTAAATGAAATTCTGTTGGGGGTGGGGGCTGGAATGTTGTATGATAAACTGATTTCAACAAAATTTTCTTAGTGATTGCTGTGAAAAGGTGTTTTTTATACTAGTGGAAAAAAAGTAGAAATGAGAACCAAAAGAATATTATTTACATTCAGAAAGTGGGGAGGGGAAAATGCTCAGAATCTGGGTTTTCTCTTGAGCATCAATCTTTACAACCAATCCAATATTTTTGTAGAGAATTCCTGGTGTTAAACAGTATGTTAAACTGTTGGGTCTTTAGTGTTTGTAATTTTTCCCAGGGATTACTTATCTCACCAAGGCTTGAATTACCAGAAGAGCTGTAGTCTGCTTTATTTATTTATTAATTACTCCTTGTATAAGAATATGAGTATCCCTGGAGCAGCTGAAATTGACTTTTTTTGCATAATGGGAAGATGGAGAGATCTGTTTGGTGGTCACAGTTGCTTTTGTGATGCTGCTGAAGAGAATTAACTTCTAATTTTATTTTTGGTATATATGCAATGAAATTTATGATAATTACCTTCACAGAGATATAAGGGTGTTGATTTTGATAATACCCGCAGTCTTCAGACTGATACTGTCAAAGCCTCCAAAACTCTACACCTCTAAATAACCTTGAAGACTATAAATAAGAGAATGACACAGGAGTTTTAATTATTAGATCTTTGTAGTCTTAATTACTCTAGAATTTGCAGCTCATTTAATTCTGTGTTAGGATGCTAGGAATAGCTAACTGTAACTTTCCTTCAGGGAAATGGCCATGAGAGGGACTTCATGGATGAGAACCGCGTATATATTATGGGTGCCTATAACAGATATATTTATCCAGTGGATGGATTTGCTTAATGTAAGTATAATTGAAATTCATATTCCAAAATGTAAAAGACCTACTGTGTTGTTGAATAACTTCCGCATCTACTAATAAGCTTCCTTGCAACGGTGATAACTCATTATTTGTTTTAATTTCACATTGAACACATGTTTTTCAGTGATCACGGTGATACAGTGCAGGAACATTAACACTCTAGTGTTCTCCCTCACTTTTGGAATGCAAAGTGTGGGTATTACGTGGACTTTGTTAGCAGTCCATTCAAAAGCTCATGCCACGCTTATAACAGGGAGTTAATACTTTTGATTTGAAGATAACCATTAGAACTTAATCTTTCCGTTACACTAAATTTATAAAAGAATTCACTAAGGATTAGCTAATACTCTGTAAAAAGGTTTCATGCTCTTTTGACAGTTATATTTAGATGCTGTCTTTCCAGTAGAACTTATTTTATAAGCATCTAGAAAACAAGCTGCATCTGAATGTGAAACAAGTTGGGAAGCAAAAGGAAGTCATACAAGTGTTAAGAGCTGGTGATTGATTTTTTTTGTTGTTGTTTTTGTTGTTTGCTTATCCCTACTGTGATGTGCCTATTGTGTCTGGTGACCTGTCACTATTATTTAGTAGAGTTTTGATAATGGTTAAATCATAATGCTAAAGACAAAGTTTATTTTATCTTTGATTCTGTTACACTGACAGTTATTACAGGCTTAATTTGTTAACTGATTCATAGTTTATTGGGGGAGATGTTCTTCTACTGTTGAATTTCTTCAGTGATGCTGTCATTCTGAAAAGCCTACTTAATTTGGATTCTTGGCAAGAATTATGTGCAGTGCATTGTACTTCTGTCTTTTAACTAGTAAAGATTTTGAAAATTGCAGTAGATGTGTTTCAATCATCAAACTGAAAAAATGACCATTTAAATCACATCATGTCAGACAAACAGACAAACTGGAAGTGAATGAAGATTTTTTTTTCTAAGAAAAGCATCCCTTTATTCATATATTGAGTGGGCAACAATTTGAACAGATGGATTAAGACCAAAACAGAGTAAGACCTTGTTAGCGCATCTGAAATACGAAACTCGCCCCTGTCCTATGAAGCTGGGAGTATTAGCATTCCCCTTCTACAGATGAAGCATGAGGTGCAGAAGGGTGTGGCCAAAGGGATGTGAATATGTAGTTCCTTGTAGTTTGCATAAGAGTGTCTAGATAGGAATTCAGTGGCCACATCCTTTAAGCTCTCTCCTGCTAGGTGACCAGACAAAGATGAGATCAGAGAGGACATTGTTTTGAAGGGAGGTAGAGGCTTGAACCTGAGAGTTTGAATCCTTAGGGTAAACTCCAACTCATCACTGTCTCCCTGGACCTCCTACTCATTTTCTCCATGTTTTATTCCAAGATTCTCTTCTGGATATTTTTTTTTTTTTTTTTTTTTTTTTTGCCTCATGCACTTCTTTAGGGGTAAAAAAAAAAGAGAAGACTTGTTAGCATTGCCTAATGCTTAGCTATAAGTGTACTGAGTCCCTAAGGGGAGGTAGTTTGGAATTACACAGAAGTTTAGGAGAAGATAAGAGAAGATGGATGGGGAAAAGGACTAGTTCACTGAAGGGTGAGCATAAAAAATTGACAGCTGAAACTCAAAGTTCAGGCCTTAAAAAAGGATTGCTGTTGGTCTGAGAGTAATTTTACAGTTTTCAAAGCTGTAGAAGTACATTCACTGATTAGCAAGAGATGGAAAAAAGCCTGTCACATGCAAAGCTGTTCATTGTAACCTGCAGATCCATCCCTGTGTCCATCAGGAGTCCCTGATCTGAGTAATAACTAATCACTGTAATTCTGTGTTTTGTGGTGGAGATGAAGACAAGAGACCTGCAGAGGCATGGAATCTTATTCACAATCTTATGAAGTTCTTGGTGGTTTCATCAGAACAACACTTATTTGTTCCCCATGACAATGTGTTTGCCTCCCCCTCTAAAGCTCTATCCAGCTAGCGGATTCTTTACCCTGAAGAGGCTCTAAATGCTGTTCAGAAGAGCACATCTGTGTAGACTTACATAAACGTTTATATAACAATAAGAAAAGAATTCAGGAAAAATATCATAAAGAAACAAATCTTTGACACTAATGTTGATGCAATAAAAGAAAGGAAAGAAAAAGAATGGTTCACTGATGTTGAACAAGAATGGAAAGAAGAAAGAAAACCTACCCAGCAATCACAAGAATATATAAGTATCATTCTGCGTTGAATGCATTCATGCACACTTGGTGGGTGCTGAATCCACACTTAAGATTTAAGACTCCAAGTCATTTAATTCAAGGCATAGGATATGGTGAGGTGGAAGTCATACCTTGAAACAGCTCTGATGTAGATTTGATTAGTTCAGATTTAGTTACACATAACTCCATAAAAGCACCCAAAGCTAGGCAGCATAGCCTGGGTTTCTTTCCTCTACCTTCTCAACCCTCCTCTTCTCATGCTTTATTTGAAGCATTAGAAATAATTTGATTTAAATTAAGAATAGATATTTGCTCTTCTGGTAGGAGTACAGGGTAAGAACATTAAATTGAAAATGCTTGGGGCAAGGCTAAAACTTGTTATACATTCATAAAGCAGTTCACATAAATTCGTGATCCCTTGCTGTTAAGTTTTGAATGTTGTGATAAAAATAAAACATCTTAATTTCTCAGTGATATTTATCTTGTGTTTTCCCCCAGCTGTTTACTCTGCAATAGCAATTCAATGTTTTCTTTCCCTTATGCTTTATTTAGGATACTTTTAATATTTTTCTCTATGATTTCTTTGCTGATTGCTAAATAGACATGTATCATAGAATCACAGAATGGCTA